TTCTGTCGATGGCTAGTACCTGAGCCATCAATAGTGCCTTTTCGGCCTCTTTGGCAGAGTCCAGTGTAACCCGTAATGGGGGTGGCTTACCTTGAGGTGTGTGGACACCCCTGTACAGCCTGCACAATTTCACTGAAGTAATATTCGGACCTAGTTTATTGCACAGGTTGGACCACTGTTCCTGATCAAACAGGGCCTGCTGTTCAAGCAAGCTGTCCTTGCTCACAGGTACGTTGAAGAGGATGAGAGAATTAGACCGATTAACCTCAGACTCAGGTTTGGCCTTTGGCTCCTCGTATTCCTTTGCAGCATCAGCAACTTTAGACTTCGTCGGGTTCTGGCCAGCCTTTGTTGTGTTGCCAAGCTTGCTTGTGGATGCAAGTGGGGCTTCTCTAATTCTATCTTTCCTTGATGTTTTGGGTCCAACCTTTTGAATCTTCACCTTGTGAAAATTGGCACTTTCAGTCAGTAGGACTGGAGTGTCCTTCTTACTGTCTGTGTCAAGTTTTGGCAATGTGATGTTAGCAGGTGGGGAGCTACATAAGGCCATGTTGGGACACAAGGGCGGCGTGTTGTTTCTGCTATCCACAGACAGGCTCTGTGCGACTATGCCAGGGCGATAGAGTGGACAGATGTACCAAAACCACGGGCACGGGTTATTTCTCATTAACTCGTAGTATGATTTCGGTACCTCTTTGTCGCAACGGCAGTGCACCCACCGTTTGCAAAAATTGCATTCGAAAGCTTAGTCAGCTTTAGAAACAATGATATTGCTCGCCTGGCATTCGTCTCCCTTACTTGGTGACGCCTTCGAGGTCTTATGACGTCTTGAGCGTTTCCTTTTAGGTTTGTTGTACTTCACACATTGGCTTTCAGTTGATGCAGGTGTAGTATCCTGTCCCCCTAGTATTGCCTTTGCCGTTTCAGTACTAGACTGTGGCAATGCAGGCATAGTATCAGGAGAGACGAGACCTACACGAGTCGTTAGGATGAGTATGCGACATGGGGTTGGTGTCCCTGGGTTTTTGCCTTCTCTGGCTGAAGCCCTTGTGACTACAGAGTAAGGTGTCTTGGTGCCATTTCTAAGGTTACTTTCGACAGACATATTAACCATCACTAAAACTTATGCTGTATAAGAATAAGAGCGCAACAGTATCTACCCACAAGAACAGGACTAAAAAAGCACAAGACAAGGAAAGGAAAAGGTTTTCGACTTTGCCTAGTACTTTCTAGATGATCGGCTTCACAGCAATCACATGGTAGACCAACAAGTCTTGTCTGTCTGAACGAGTGAGGAAGATGCTGCTACAAAAATAGCACCTGAAGCTTTGGAAGTAGTTCGAGACGGCTGGACTTACCACACAGAGATTCGATATGTAAGTAATGGTTGAATTTAACTCACCCGCTAGGAAGATCAGCTTACCAAAGCGGATAATCCACGAAAACGGTATTTACCGGTTGGAGGAGCGCGAACTTGGTTCGTATCCCTGGGAGAACTAATGGAAGGGATTCAGTCCAATGGGTGTTGCTTGCAGCTGATAAACCGGCTTTCAACTGTCTGTGTAAACGCTCTACCATACCATTAAATAGAGGATGGTAGGCTGTTGTTCGAAAACGCATGCAACCAAGGATTTTAGTCAAAAAGAAGAATGAACCGCTTTCGAATTGCCCGTTCTGGTCGTCACGTGAGATTCCCAGAATACCTTCACACCTATATCACCTAAGTGAATGGTGCGATTCAGAAATAGAACTTCTAAAGTTGTCTATAGGAGAACTTAAGGCCGAGTTAAGGGACTTAAAAAACAATAAGTCAGTAGATCCTGGAATTTCCGATACCAATACCAAAATCTCCAATTTATCAGGTCAGATCAGTGATATCAGACTGCAGGTCTGTGAACTGACACCTTTAACTATTCTCATGAAAACTGTAGACCTTAACAAACTTGACAGTGAATCGATATCTAAGGTGGATAACCTAATTAACTTTGTTACTACAGAAGTAACAAAACGACTAGATGCTAAACTAAATGCTATTGTCTACAACGTTCCGGACAATGAGGCACTAAAAAGGGTACAGCGCATCCTACTTAGTGAGGCGAAAATGCCCAACTCCAAGACTAAGTGCTACAGGCTGAAGAAGAGTCAACATGAAAAGTGTTGTCCTATTCGTTTTCAGTTCGAAACACCGGCAGAGGCCAGAAAATTTACCCACTCCCAACACACCCTATCGCAAGCCAGAAATTACAAACTAATAAAGGTTGCAGTGGACAAGACAGTCATAGAAAGGCGCGTATACAATCATCTCACTGAGTCTAATTGTGGAATAAACAATAGGACGTTGCAAGCAGCAATTATACCCAACCCTTTGAGAGACACCGTAGAATCCACCGCACCACCCCTCTCTAACCACATTAAACTGGTACTTGAATCTCTTGACTTGCCTAAACTCCAAAGTGTTGTTGACCTAGGACTCAGGTACTCTAGTGACTTGACATTTTCCGAGCAAGTGGCGACACAGACGCGTAAATCGAGGATGCTCCTAGGATGCATACTCAGGAATTTCCACAACTACGAAGCAAAACTATTATTATATAAAACTTGTGTCAGACCACTACTTGAATATTGTCCATTTATTCTCAGCAGCACTCGCGTAAGTGACAAACTTAAAATAGAAAGTGTCCAACGATACTTCACGTCTAAACTACTGGGATTTGACTGCGAAAAGGACTACACATCAAGGTGTATAACTCTAGGTATCGACCCACTCTGGATGAGACGACTGAGCATTAACCTAACATTCTTCTTTAAAATATTGCATAAAATATCATTCTCAGACAGCAAGGAGATACAGTTCTCACCGGAAGGCTCTTACAACCTTCGTAACCAAACGTGCACAGTATCTAGGAAAAACTGTAAGACAGCACTCCGTGCAAACTTCTTCATAGTCATGTACTCTAAGATCTGGAACAGTTTACCCCTAGAAATAAGGACCTGTCACTCTATTATAACCTTCAAACGCTTGCTATATAAACTGCTTCATCCCAATGACTATGCCAATCACACCGCACCACTTATTTCCAAAACGCATGAGCACACTATAACGCCTAGACTCATTACTGAATATTACGACACTAAATAAACTCTAAGACTTCGCAAAATTACATGAAAAACAACTAGATTATAGGTAGTGTTTACTATACA